TGAGCCTCTTCCTGGATCCTCCACTCAATGCTTCTTTTCCCCATTCCAAAATTTCTCAAGGTCATTATACCAAAGCGTCTCATTATCTTCCATCTTTCTCCATTACTCATGACAATCCCTAAAACATTGCAGGAGAGTGTTTATTTATAGATCGCACTGGCCACAACTTTATGAAATTTGGTGGGGTGTACATTATGGCTGCAGCTCATGTGACCAGGCAAGTGGCCTCAGTACAAAATATGTGAATTAGAACATATCTCTGGATATGGGAACCAGATTCTGGCTTTTTTTTTTAGTTGTAATGGAAAAAATGTAGCTTGAATATTATTAATTACTTAGGACAATGCAGACGCTTACCATAAAATCAAACCTTTCGCCAAATTTAAAACCCATTTCCACTTTTGCTGAGGTATATAAAAAAATGTCAGCAATGTACACCAAGTGTACATGAAGCAGGCATATGCAGTTGTTGTATATGAACACAGAAACTTAATTTTTTTGAATGACATCCTGTAGTGTGATGCTCTGTAATCCTAGCGTAATGATGCAGAAAGGGGTGTTGACATCATAATGCCTGCACTGCTGTGTGCATTCTTCAGGGACACCCACCAGCATCAAGACATCTAAAAAAGGTATGTACTGTATATAGAAAAAAATACAGACTGGTGGGCTTCCTGGGATGGAGAGGGAAGCATAGGGAGTGAACCTTACATAATTACATAGTATTTGGGGTTGAATAAAGACATACCTTGAGCCCTCAGTTGGGCTTTAACCCTTTCACTGTCATATGCCAAATAATGGCAGCAGGGCCCTGTAAGCAGACTGCCAGCTGCTATAGCGGTCGGACGTTTGTTTACATATATAAAGACAACTGTCGGTTTCACACTGGAAGGCTTTATGCTGGCTTTAATCCCCTGGCTCTTGAAGCCCATTTCCTAAAGCACAGAAGCCTTTCCGACCATGCCATCCCTACACTTCTGAAATCTAGGAAGACTACCTCCCACAAGGTCTGCCATCACACCTGAAAGGCTTATTTCACTTGACGTGAATCAAGGAAGTTTAATTTCAGGATGTAATCTGTAGGATATAACATACAGTATCTTTCCCGCAATCTGGCCTAGACTAGCGTTTAGCATTGAGCCCTCTCAAGGGCCATATTTCTGCTTTGGAAATTCTTTTACAGAGCCTGCTTGTGCAAGGGATTGCTCACATTGTTTCCTCCGTATGCACTTTGGTGTCTCTGTGAGGCCTCAACTTAGTACTGTCTGCACTGCAGAAGCTGCCCTTTGAACCTTTTGGATATGTCCCCCTGTCCCTACTCACTCGCAAGGTCACCATCACTTCTGCAAGGCATGTTTCTGAATTGGCAGCCTTGACTTGTTAAGAGCCTGTTTTGGTTATCCACGAGGATAAGATAGTGCTGAGGCCTAGGGCCTCCATTTTTCCTAAGCTAGCCTTTGGTTCCACCTTAACCAGGCCATTGTCCTGGCATCCTTATGTCTGGCTCCTAAACATCCTTAAGAGGTTTCTCTCCACTGTTTGGACGTGGTTTGAGCCGTTTGTGTTTACAGACTTTGTAATTCCTGAGGGTCCCTGTATAGGGGAGCCAGCTTCTTGTTGCACTGTTGGTAGTTGAATTCAGTGAGCTATCACTGTTTGGATACTGTTTCCCCCCTTGCTCCTGTGATGGACTACAATCTCACAATTAGTTTACTAAGTTGTAATGAGATTATAGCCTATTACTGGAGTGAGCTTGGAGTGGTGGCTACTTTACAACACACACAGGGACCATGGGGAAGAAAAGTAGCCACCCTCCAGAAGAAAGGACTGTGTATAGGATGTGAGGACACAGAGGGACATGCCATCGCTGCAGTGGAGGAGGAGATAGGCTTCAGGGACCGGAGCAGCAGCCAGCAGGCTCCGCAGTTTGGGTAAGCATAACTTAGACAAATATACATAACTTAGGCAAATAGACAAAAACAAGCACTTAACCCTTGCAGTGCAGGGGTAGCCTCACTGCAAGGGTTAAGAACACTTTTGCCTGGGGGTTCCTTTAACTTACATTGTACACTAACGTGACGTTTTTGCACTTTATATGCAGAGATAAAGAGTGTGTTCCGATTTAGAATAACAAAAAAGCGTAGCTTGAGAAGCATCAAGATTTATGGTATTTATCATTACAATACGCATTTCCAAGCAGCATGCTATTAAATAAATATTGACGCTTGCCCTGATAAAAGTGCATTACACAAAATGCATGCGCACTGTGGCATCCTCCATGAAGCATGCACTGTGAGATATTTGAAAATGTTTAGTACAGTTGTTTACTTACCAAAGGTTTTGAATAACAAAGTGGCCGCCCCAAAATCCCCTCTGTTGCTAAACGCATCACCGTGATCTAGCAATGCTTCCTTCACCGCATCATATCCAATCATCACAACCACGGGAATATTGCCCATGTAGCAGGTGTACACTGGTCCATAGGTCTCACTTATCTGTATGCCATGATAGGATACGTTGTGCATAGAATGAAAGAGCAGCAAGTAAAAAGACTGCTATTCAACATTCCCTCCTTCCCCAGTAATAATAAATATGCAAATATTACCTTTAGTAAAGTTTTGGGCATTTCTGTGGTGCTCAACTGCATTACAATCCCCAGCAGGGGCAAAGGTGGGGGGCCTGGAGGGAGATTACTGTGCTTTATCCTTCTCCACCATGACACAAGGTAAATTAGAAGAAGAGTGACTCCAGTAGCCAGCAGAAGTGTTGTCCCTATTCCCAGCACCATCCTCACAGTAACTAGATCAAGGAAATGTCTGAGTGTTTGCCTGTTTCTATATGAGCTTTGTACTCTGGCAGCTTTTCAGCTGAAAATATGCATGGCATGAAAATCAGAAGTGTTGTGAACTATTGGTGCTGTCCACAGTTGCTAAGGGGCTTTGGAACAGGAAGGGGCCCACCTAGGGAGGTTGTTGAAGAAAATTAAATATAGAAAATCAGTGTACTGTACATTCATAGATAACACAGATCCTCTGGGGTCTTCATTCTAGAAGAGCTGACTGCCCTGAGGCGAACGACAAGTATTTGTTAACATGCTGTTAGTCACAGAACTCCTTTTCTTCCCCCCATCCGTGAGCAGATTTACTGGGTTATTCACAACAGGGTGAAGAGTTTGGAGAAGGAAGGAGAAGTGAACAATCTAGGACAGCATAGCTGATCTGGAAAGTGAGCTGAATTGGAGAATTTTTCCAAATCAGCTATTTTGTCCTAGATCCTAGGTTCTGTCTTCAGAACTTTTGCCCATCCTGGCCAGCTCTCTGATATCAACCCTGTAGACCTAACAGTCTTCCTGAGGTTAGAAAGTCCAGGCGTACCTACTAAACTGAAAGCTGATAATTGAATTATCATTTGAGGTTTATAATTCTGCAAAACAAGCCACTGGTTAAATTAGTTTGATGACTGAAATTCATTTTATATCATTTTTTGAGACAGAAGGAGCTTTCTTTTGGTGGTATTTAAAAACTTTTTTTATTCTATGCTATATAAAGGGGAAAGAGTAGTGATTTTGAAAAAAGCAAAAACAAAACCCTTTTTGGAAAGTAGACACCCAAAGGTGACCTTATTTTTTGCCATTTGTTTTGGAAATGAATAACATGCTGGTATTAAAGTGGTTAAAGCTGCACTTAGCATTTAAAACTAAGTTTAAGTCTTGCCATATTAGCAGAAGGAAGTTTCCTATAGGGTGAAATCGCATTGAACCAAAATTGCTAACTCAAAACACTTTACCTCTCCAAACAATCCCACAATCATTGATGGTCAATGACACTGTAGCCTTCTCCCCCTTCCAAAACAATTCCCCAATCACCTTCCCCATGTCATCTGCAAGACGAAAACAAACTCCTTCCATACCTGTTCTTCTATTACCTTTGGGCCCCGTGTTGTATAAACCTTGTATAAGGTTCAATATATGAATTGTATCCAATCCAAAAAAAAAAAAAAAAATATTGTGTGGTGTGCAATCTATGTTGAAAATTGTTTGTGAACTAGATGTGTTCACTTGAAAAGTAACACCCACCTCACAAAATTTGTACAATAATATATTGTCTTTTTATTTTATATTTGTTGTAGTTAACTATGTTCTGTGTGTTCAAAAAAATATACATGACTTTTATAGAATATTTTATTGTGAGTGATCAAGACTGCTGGTAACAATACAAATGAGTCTGCAATGAGCAGTTCAATTTATAGTTCCTTATAACTTTACTTGCTAAAATTCTGAACCTAAACCTTAAAAACATTGTAGTTTTGTTGCATTTTAGTGCTGTTTATATTGAAAATGGCATGTTACCAGATGAAACTTTCCTTCGTTAGGAAATCCTTGAGACTTTCGTAGCTTCTTTACACAACTACTGAACAACCATTCTCAGGAGGAATGACCAACTAGGCAAGTTAGATGGTCTGTCCTAAACACTCCTATTAACCATCAGATAAGCAGTGCTGGCAGAAACTCATCTTCTTCATAATCCTCTCCATTCAGTTACTGATAGCAGTGTTTGTTGACAGTTAGATTGTTCCTGCATTCCAGACCCTAGCTATATTTATGCACCTTTAGCTTTAGTACTAATTAACATCTATGTGTTCTAACATGCACATTTTAACACGTTATCATATGTACACAGGTTGGCCACATTTTTGTATTGACTTAATGCGTGTTTACTAAAAAAGGTAATTTACTTTTTGATGCATTGATGCATGTTATACATCTTTTCATGGGAAAAGCAACACACCAGCCTAAAGTCCTGACTATCTATTTTTGGGGGTTTGGAGTTCGTGCCTATTTATGTATTTGAATTTTTTAAATAAAGATTTCAGATGCTAAATCCAGCTTGAAAATGATTCCCTTTGCAAAATGACAGGAATAGAATCAGTGCAATATATTACAATACAATATACAAAATATGCAAAAAAATGTATAATTGAGGTTGCCAGCTGCTAGCCCATGTTGATACCATCTTTGATGGTGCATGATGGGTACTTCACCGAGGAACAGTAAACATCTTATAATTCCGAGCTCTTGAAGCGTTGGTTTTGGGTTCTGGGGTGATTTCTATTTCCTTCTTGTCCACTGTAGGCTTCAAAGTAAATCTTTGCAGTATAGTAGTAAAAAACAAGAAGAGCTCCATACGAGCCAGACCTTCTCCCACACATATGCGCTTCCCTAGAAAGAATAGAGAGAGAAAAAATTCTGTCAGTAAACTGCTGCTCTTGGAATGTCTGATACTAGACTTGTGATTCTGTAGGCCTGCGCTTTACAACTCCATACATTGGAGTTTCTCTGCAGACTGCACTATTATACAGAATATTCCTGTCTCATTCTAACTTTGCAGACCCTTAAACAAAGAGAAATAAATTATTTGCACCCACAATCTGACCCCAATGCAGTCTCTTGAAAGTAGGTAAGCTGCACAATACAGAATGATTGGCAAAAGGCTTCAGTCCTCTTCACTGGATTTCTCAAATCCCTGCAAATCAGAGTTAAGTGAGCCATGGCAAAATTTTAAAAAAACTTGGTGCAATAAAAAAAAAAGGTGCAAAGGCGTGCTTTCAGACAATGTACACGTCCTTTTAGTTGCCTCCCAACCTAAAGTACCCCACATTCTACATCTCTAGATTACTTATCTCCATCTAATGGCTGCCGCTTACTGCAATGTTGACAGTCTGCTGTGAAATCTTCTTTGGTAGAAAACACTTTGAAGTCTGTGGGTTCTTCAGGTTGAACTCGATGGACTTGTGTTTTTTTTTTCAACCTCACTAACTATGTAACTATGTAAGACAGTCTTGTAGACGTCTATGGGGATGGACTATGCAGGTGCAATAATTGCAAAAAAAATGTAAAGAAAGCTGTCGACATTGCAGGGGGTTGAGGCTGTGAGATAGAGGTATGTATTATATATTGGGGGGAGAAGGAAACTTTAGATGAAGGAAGGCAAAAAAAGAAAACAAGGCTTCTTTGCATAAATGTTTACTAGCCCTTTAAAATAGGCCTTTGTCAACAGTACAGTGTAAGGCCCCATTCACACTGAGCAATTTGCATTTTGCGCGATATTACGCGTTTGCCGCGCGATATCGCGCAAATGGTTGCATTGAGCAACCTAGAATCGCTGCAAAATCCGCTCCAAAAAGGGTCCTACTGTAGCGACGCATGACCCACGACAGTGACGGACCGAGCCCCATTGAGATGTATTGGAGAGCGATATCGCGCTGTAAATACCCGCGATATCGCGCGGATTACCGCGCGATAAATCGCTCAGTGTGAATGCGGCTTTAATGCGGAAACCTCTTTAGTAGGGGTGAGCTTTTGGCATAGTCTGAAGGTATGCATAACATACTTGCAAATGATGGCATACATCTACCTCTACCCACCTGTGCTGTCCTCCAGCGATGACTGCCACTGCTGCAGATTCTACAGGGTCCCGCGGCGATCCTCTTTGGCCATTGGGCAATCATTGATTATGTAACTCTTGCCTATGATCACAGGAGTCAGTTACATCATCACTGGAACCTGGCCCTTCCTCTGCATTTTACAGTTATGAGTTGAGAGTGTACTCTACACAGCATCTGCACGTTATTTAAAAGATAAGCCACCTGAATGGTGTATTTAATAAAAGATCTTGCTTAGCCCTTAGTCCACAGATTTGCACTGAAAATAAAACAAAAATTTTAAGGCACAGTCACTGTGCTTTCCTACCAAACAGGAAGTAAAACATATATAAGTATAATGAACAAATATGAACACAGTGTATACATATAATTTAATTTTTTAAGTTAAAAATGTGTGATTGATGGTGTTATTATTTAGTGCATATATAAATTAAGTAATTATGATAGATTCACTTTAGTCATTACACGGTTGTCTGATACCTGCAGAAAATGGCATGAAGGCTTCATTCTTCTTAAAGGCTCCATTCTCATCAAGAAAGTGCTCAGGGTCAAACTCAGATGGGTTCTTGAAAAAATTAGGGTCTTTTAAGACAGATGTTAGTGTGGGAAGCACCAAGGTGTCCTGAAAAAATGTAAGTAAAATTAAATTATTATCTTACATTTTGTATTGAAGTTGAAGTACAACTCTCTTTTTGTTCTTTAATTAGAAAAATAAGCCCAGCATAGAAAACATAAAAAACCCCCCCCCCATTACTGTCTACTGACATTCTTCCCCACAGACTTACTGCTCTCAGATCGAGCACTACCCCTTTATCTTGTTGAAAAACAACTAGAATCATCCTACACACTGCATCTGAGCCCAGGCCATCATGGACACACACCTTGAGGATGCATCATCATCCTGATCTAGGGTCAAAGTACTCATGGACAAAGCAGCACTCAAGTCATGTGAGTTTTGCACTGTCCAGACAAAAGGACCAATCACTACTGCTGCTGAAAGTTAAGAGGAAGGACCTATGAAGTCATTGGACCAGCATAATTGGATTTTGAAAAGAAAATAGGTGGGGGGGCTTTAGGGTGAGGGTGGGTTGGCTTAAAACCTGGATTTGGACTGTATAATTATATAAAGAAGAAAGGCCTGTCTTCTTTTAAAAGTTGATGTTCTAGATGTTGATGTTCTAGCTTTCAGGAACAATAAATGGCAGGTTATCCTGCTCATAAAGTGGTAGTTACAAAGTTGTATTAAGGGTGGGGGTTTTGTCATAATGTGTAAGTATGCACATCATACTTGCACATTATGGCACACTTGCCTTACAAGTGTGCTATTCTCCAGCGCTGTCGGATCCATTTTCTTTTTTTTTTTCCAAATATTTATTTATTGAGTTTTCAAATTTAACATATCATACAAATACAAATAACAAAACATAATTCATTCCCACATACTTAACATAACACCTATAGTAGGAATCATCTCAATTGTTTTCTGTAGTTCCCTCCATATTCCTACTCCCTTAAAACAAATAAGTAACATATAACACTAAGACCCTAACACCTTTCTTCCTCCCCCTCCCCCCCAAGACAGACATTCCCACATGATCAGGGGTATCAAGAGTGTCGTAAATATAATTAGTCGCTAGGGAAGAAGTGAAAAGGACAAAAGGAAGAGAAGGAACGTCAAGTTAGACCGGATATCAACTCAAGATGAAATAATCCAGAGTTAGACTTCTTTTAGTTTTACCCCTATAAAAATCTCAGAATCTGTTGTGAGCTCATATAATCCCTCCATGGGCTCCACCTCTCCCCAAATAGCGTATGTCTATTGTATAAACGGGCTATGAGCTCTTCAGATCGCATTACGTTATTTAATTCTTCCACCCATTCAGATATCTGGGGAGAGCTGGTTGATTTCCAATGTCTGGGTATTACTGCCCTTGCAGCTGCAAGGATTGGGCCCAATAGGCCTTTTTTCCTTGCATCGGGCGAACCATGGTGTAGAGACAGCAGAGCCACTTCAGGTGTCTCCAAACCATGAAGTCCCGTTAGTTCTTGTGCTATATCTAAGATTGATTTCCAGTAAGATCTTATCATCTTACACGACCACCAAATATGCATCATCGTCCCATCTTCTACAAAACACCTCCAACACAGCTTGGAGTTTTTAGGGTTCATCTTGTATAGGTTATATGGACATCTATACCATCTTGTTAGTACTTTGAAATTTCTTTCCTGTGTTAGGGCAGAGATACTTGATTTGAAAGTTAGGGAAAAGATCTTCCTCCATTCCTCCTCTGTAAATACATGACCTAGCTCTTGTTCCCACACTTTAGTGTAATAGGGCAATGTTGGAAACATCTGTTTTAATATTAGATCATACAACTTAGACACCATATGTTTATCGCCTGCTTTATTTAAACATATCTCTTCAAAAGTGGTTAAATCTCTGAGCACTCCATCTTCTGTGGAGAAGCCATCATAGAAGTGCTTCAATTGGAGGTATTCCAGCCATCTACCCTTTTTTGATCGATTCATCGGGAGCAATTCCGAGAGTGGTCGTATTCCTTTCTCTGTTATAGCTTCTATAATTGGGGAGTGTCTGGTAGTCTCCCAAATCAAGAATCTTCTACGCTTCAGGCCGAATGGGAAATCTGGGTTCCCTAGTATAGGTGTTAGTGGGCCAATGTATGTTGACAGTTCAGATTTCCTTACCAATACATCCCATGTTTTTAATGTTGAGGAAATTACCAGAGATCTAGTCCAGCTTTTATCTCGTTTAATTGGGGGTATCCATGGGACAGAGGTCTGGGGTATATCCACCTCCGCCTGTTTTACCGACACCCACAACTTCGGGTTTCCCCTAGTAAACCAATCCAGCAATCTACTCAGGCCCACCGCTTGGTAATATATTTCCATATGAGGTAATCCTCCCCCACCATCTAATTTTCTTTTAGTCAATATGTCATATCTTAGGCGAGCTCCTGTTTTATTCCATACGTAGCGTGTCTGTATAGATTGCAGTTTTCGAAAGAATGTTCGGGGGATCCTCGCTGGCACCGTCTGAAAGATGTAGAGGAATCTTGGGAGGACGTCCATTTTAAATATGGACATCCTCCCAAGCCAAGAATGTTGTTTCCCCCCCACCTGTCCAGACGTATCTGAGTGGCGAGGGCAATTGCCAGATGTTCCATCGCTATGATATACAACATGGGGGACAGGGGACATCCCTGTCTTGTCCCATTTGTAATTTCCAACTTATTTGATAGTATTCCATTCACGTGTATCTTCGCCGTTGGGTTTGTATACAATACCATAATCTTTGATACTAGGGAAGTCGGTATTCCTATCTGCTCTAGAGATATTTTAATAAATTTCCAATCAACCCTGTCGAAGGCCTTCTCTGCGTCTAGAGATAATAGACACAGAGGGGTTTTCCTCGACTGAGCTTGTTGGATCAGGGAGATAGTTTTAATAGTGTTATCCCTCGCCTCTCGCCCGGGGACAAAACCTGCCTGCTCTGGGTGGATTATTTCCTGTAAGTATGGTTGTATGCGTAAAGCCAGAATTTTTGCGTAAATTTTCATGTCTACATTTATTAATGATATCGGCCTATAACTCGAGCATTGTATGGGGAAAAACCAAGCGCATGCTGAAGAATAGGATCTCGGATCACTTGGCTGATATTTCGGCCCGTGAACATTGTATGGGGTCCTTTTTATCCTTGTGTATCAATGTTATATAGGCCTCTTGGCTCTGACTTGGGAACCCGCTCCCATCGCCAATACAATTGAACACTTCCAGTAATATTGGGGCCAGTTCTCCAGCAAATTGTCTATAAAAAATGCCCGTTAGCCCATCGGGGCCTGGGCTTTTTCCCCCTGGTAATGAGTGGATCACCTCTATGACTTCTCTCAACAAAAGTGGAGTGTCCAATTTATCAATTGCTTCATTGTCCAATCTAGGCAGGGGTGTCTGGTATATATAGTCCAATTTGTCCTTTTGTTCCTCTCTCCCCTCTTTTCCTGTTGCATTTTCCCTAAGGTTATATAGATTATTATAATAGTTATGAAATGCTTCAGCGATCTCCTCTGAAGAGTTAACTATACCCTTATGTTTACAGTTATTTTTTGGGATATATGTTCGGGCCTGTTTCTCTTTTATCGAGCGTGCCAAATGCCGACTACTTTTGTTTCCAAATTCGTAGGTAGTTCGCTTCACTATATCCTTGTATCTTTGGTACCCCAGATCCAATCTTTGATGGAATTCAACTCTTTTTTGCTGAAGGCTATTATAGACTTCTATATCTACATTCTTTTTGTGTTGGCTTTCGAGTTGCTGTATATCTTCCAGAAGGGATTTGATTTCAAGTTCTTTTCTCTTTTTTAGACGTGTTCCGTGGGATATAAGTATCCCTCGTATTACCCCTTTCAGGGTTTCCCATTTTATTGATCGTGCCGTGGTGTCATTTTTATGGTCTGTTAGGAAGTTTACAATGCCTTGTCTAATAGCTTCTTTTATAGAGTCATCTTGTATTAAGTTTTCATTTAATCTCCATGTCGCTTTAAGCTTCATGGTATTCGGCGGTGTAATCGTGAAAAATATGGGTGCATGGTCTGACCATATTTGGACTCCTATATATGCCTTTATCTGCCAACTAATTAAACAATGAGACCCAAAAAAATAGTCTATACGACTATATGACATATGTGATGGTGAATAGCATGTGTAATTTCTAGCTCTAGGATGTAGGATACGCCAAATATCCACCAGTTGTAGATTCTGTAGGCATTGTTTTAATCTATTAAGCTGGGTATATGGTATATGAACTGTACCTTTAGACGTATCTACTTTAGGGTCCATTGTCAAATTAAGGTCCCCCCCTACGACCAGAATTCCTTCCATAAAGTTCCTCAAAAGATTGAGTATCTTTACTAGTGCCCTCATCTGACCTTTGTTTGGCAGATAAATATCAACAAGTGTATACTGTTTATTAAATATTTTACATTTAACAAAACAGAAACGCCCTTCATCGTCCCCCCGTTCCTGAATATCTACTACCGGTAATGAGGCGGTGAAACCTATAGCCACACCTCGGGATTTGCTCTGAGTATAATTACTCATATGCCATTTGGGATAATATCCCGTAGAGATCTTAGGGACTGGGGAACTTTTGAAATGTGTTTCTTGAAAAAAGAGAACTCCTACTCGTTGAATATGCATATCATATAGTATCTGTGAGCATTTTTGTGGGATATTAAGTCCCCTGACATTTAGGGATCCAAGTTTAATACTATTCATTGGGTCTACGTCCCCCCATGATTATCTTTCCTTCTTCCCTTTGGCCTCCCCTCCCTCCTAGCATTTGTTGATTATGTTCTACCCCCCTCTTTCTATCCCAGCCAATCCTCTTCTTTATCATAAAAAACAAACACAGCATACAAAACACTAAAAACAACAACAACAGCCACAAGTCAATCATCCCTAATAGAATCTGGCCTCCGTAAATTACAGGGCCTTTGCCAGTTATACCGGCTTCTATTCTCGGGAGGTAGCTCTAGCAAGGGTGAGTCCCATGCCATTTTTCCTTTTACATTTCTTTCCCCTGCTTTTCTCTTGTTCTTATTATCTTACTTTTATTAATTTATACCTTTTTATATTTTATTTTATTTTATTTTGAAAACATAAAAAATTATATCCATTAGTGAGAGGGGATTGGGAGAATACAAAAAAAAAATACATTACTAAACGGGGGCGAAATACATATATGCATACATACATAAATACATAGATTTCCCACACCATGGGGGGTGATAGAAGGGAGCGGTCTCCCCTATAATACCCACAAGTATATCATATCAATATTCCAACCGAGGTTAAGCGTTTTATCTATATCATCCACTTTATCTATTAGCTCTCTTATCCCTCTTCTCCTGTCTGTTCTGTCTCACATGAAGTTCCATTGGAGACCAAGGCTCCCATTGTGGTGGCTCTTTATATGTTGGCTTAGATGGATCAGGCCAATTTTCTATCTCCACATGTGGCAGTCCAATTTGGGACATAAATATTTCTATATCCTCTGGCGAGCGGGTAATAAATGTCCGACCATTTTTCTTGACACTTAAGTTAAAAGGGAACCCCCACCGATATTGGATTCCAGCTTCCCTCAATTTTTGCATTATCGGGCGCAGGCCCTTCTCTTTGCTAGTGTCCTTCGTGATATATTGGGGAAAAGCAGGGTCCTCGCTCCCCTGTATTCCATATCGCCTCTCTCCCTTGCTTTACGCATTAGGAGATCTTTAAGTTGCAACGTGTCCAACCTACAGAGTACATCTCGTGGCTGTGTCTGGTTTCCTGCGTGGAAACTTGGTATACGCTGGACCCTGTCCGTTGTTATCCGCTCAGAGGCACAGTCACCTGCATACATTTGAAAAATTTCCTGCACAGTCACTGGCAAATCACATTGTTCCACAGACTCAGGTATCCCCCTTATACGGATATTTTTCCATCTCTGACGGTCTTCTAATTCATCTAATTTTGACCATAGGCTAATAACCTGGCTATGCAGCCCCGCAATAGCATCTTGTGTCACTGATTGCGCTTCAATAACTGGCTGTACCACCACTTCAATAGCCTCTAGTCTCTTGTGGAAGGAATGCAGATCTGATTTTAAATCTTCCATACCTGTTTTATGTGCTTCTTCCAGCCTTTTAAAGCCTTGCTCCATACTTTCTTTTGACGGGAGTGTATTCAGGTATTTCCCCAAGGTTGTAGATACTATCTCCTCCACCTCTTTCATTGAGAACTGTTGGGCTCCTGGATCTCTGTCCCCTTCACCACCTCTGTATTTGCTCTGTCTGCTCTCACGAGTGCACTGCGGTGAGGCATGTCTGCCGTTCATCTCGCTCCTCACGTCTCCTCCAACCACTCCCTCTTGATGGCCCTTCTCTCCCCGCTCGCCGCTTGTTGGTAGATCGGCCGGAGAGACTGCGTTGCTCGACCCCGTCTCAGTCTCGGTGGTATCTGCTGAACGACAGGGGAGCATGTCACCTCCACTACTGCTCAATCTGCGGAAGTAAGTCCCAATATTTGACTTGCGATCGGCAGCACCAGGTACTGGCAAGAGGGAATGCTCTTTCTTTCTTTTTTTGCTGTTTCTGTTGTGTTTCCTCATGTCTCGAGCTAGGGCTTTACCTCATATCTCGACCCGCAGTGTTGAGAGAAAAAAGCTGCGCATCATCTCGAGTTCGGATAGTGGAGAGAGCGGACTCATACCGGCATGGAGAGTGGAGAAGGCGAACACAGGCAGACTCAGGATTCGATAGGTACTGGGTACTGGGGTTTTTTCTTTCTAGACACCCATCTAGTCTGGTTAGTCTGGTTGATCAGGCATGGGGTAGTCTCATGAGGTAATCTGGGTGATCAGGATCAGGCATGGGAGCTCAGAACAAACACGTCCTCACTCCTCCATTGCTAGACTCCTCCCTCCGATCCATTTTCATTCCTCTTTTGCATGTCTTTGCATGTCTTTCCATGTTTTTTCTGCCAAAATATCCCCACCTCCCAACAATCTTTTATTATATTGTTTTAACTTCCACTTTAAAGAAGCTGCACAGTGTCCTTTGACAATCATTTCCATTGTGCAAGCAATTTTTTAAGCATTTCTTTTAGCTGCGGTTAAAGAATGTGCAGAATGCCTCTTCAAATACTCATGTGGGCATAATCCTGCTTAATGGACAAGTAACAAACACGCTGTAGTTAGGTAGAGAAACTGGAAAACAGAAGCATCTCAAATAAAATTATGACATAAAATACTATGGTGCTGTCCTCAGCAACCAATCACATTACTTGCAGATTGACATTTTTACAAACTTGTGGTTTGCAGTTCTTGAGATGCTTTTTCATATTGCTTGCTACTATAATTAACTATAACTTTTTCTAAGATGCTTTGAAGTTGCTCTCAAGTTCTGTTTGGTATTGTTACTGTATGTTGTTCCTATTGTTAGGTGACTACGAGTGCTCAAGTAGTCTACTAATTTATATATAAAGCAATGGTCAAGAAATAATACCTCTCACCAACTAATTAGCTAGCCCTTCTTTACATGATTCTTCTGAAAGCTGCTAACCAAAGGTAAGTACACAAGAGTGCACTTTGCATTATGGCCATTTTTGATCATAAATTCCATACTTCACTCTATCTACCTTGGGAATGTGGTATCCCCGGAAGGTAGTGTCTTTGCTGGTAGCATGTACTAATCCTCCAGGTAAAATATCAGCAAATCTCTGGATCTCATGTATAACGGCATCTGTATATGGCATCTTGCTCCTGTCCTCCGCAGAGGGAAGGCGATCTTGTCCAATTATGGTGTCAATCTCTTTCTGGACTTTTTCTGCAGGTTATATAAAAATTATGAAATAAATGAGAAGAAAATGTCTGCAAACAAACCTAATTATGACCAGCAGATATGGTGGTTTGTAGTTTTATCAATTACTTTGCTGAAAGAAATATGGGGACTTCCACTTGGTACTAGCCATGTACCCAATACATATTCCATACCTATGGAGATAAAGCTTTCAGTGGAATCTGTTATAGAACAAAAGATCTGCAGGGTAGACTTGGATGTGCAATGACCAGCAATGGGAAGCTCTCAGATTTCAAAGGATGGAGCAAGGGAGGGAGTTGACAGAAACAGGATATGAGATCCAGTGTCACAGTCAGTATAGCAGAACAGAGGTCTAGCGCTACTGCAGGTAGTCAGACAAGTCAGAAGTTAAAGACTAAGAAGTCAGCCAGAGACCAGACAAAGACAGAAAGAGATGCAATAGAAGGACAGACCTGGCGCCGAGACATCATTCTCTTCATGCTCATTAGGCTGTGGGGGCACTTTCCCAAGCTCATTTTACATATGAAACACCCAAACCCAGCCAAGCAAGGAAGCCATGATCCAGAAAGGGAATACAAACAGTACTGGGATTTAAACAAGAGAACAGGCTGCAGGAGAAGAGCAATTATTGTAGGCCATCACAGAAAAGAGCTGAGAGCGGTGGTTATTTTACAACACACACAGGCACCATGGGGAACAAAAGTAGCCACCCTCCAGAAGGAAGGACAGTGTCAGCACCAATTCAGAGATGATTTGAGTATATCCCGCCGAGTGATACACAATAAGATACATTTGTGTTAATAGTTAAGGTACTTGAATGCATTTTTTAGATTTAACTCCTGAGTTTAGTGTCACTTTAATTTTTGCAACAAAACTACCAATTTCACATTTATCTAAATCTCACCAAAACTGGTCTCTAATTTCGCCTTTTGTGTTATTCACATATGTTCTCACCTTACAAGACTATCATAAATAACTTGTGTGTAAACAAAGTCACATTACACAATGACAAGGTGTGACATACCTTCATCAACCAAGCCATGCCACAGGAACTACATGGGATGTGTTAAAATATAAATTGCAATACATAGCCCCCACAAAAATGTTTTCCTGTTGTTTAAAAAAAACCTCTAAAAACAACAAAACGCACCAAGTATTTGAAGAAGGAACATAAGGTTATTTTTACTTATTTATTTGTTTAATTGAATCATGTTTGACCAAAATTACTTACCACATAAAATGTAAAAAACAAATCTGTTTATTGATGCATTTTGTTGTTATTTGATGATTTTTAGAAAATATGGAAAAAAGGCAAAAGAGCAACTTTAACATTTTTAACAAAAAACACACAAGCCTATACTCTGTGTTAAATAAAGTTTTAAATTGCTATATTTTACACCTTTTTATACTGTATAGCAAATAATCAAGTAACAACAAAAGACACCAGAAAAAGAAGGGAAAGGTCAAAGAATTAAAAAAAAACACAGTTATTATTTGATATGTGTACATTATTATACTTTGGTATTAGTATTTGAGCAGTAGTTATGCACAATATCAAACAATAAAATATAATACACCAGAAAAGGACATAATAGGACAGACTTTTTATTGTTTCTGCAGAAAGTAAAGCCATGGAATTAGCAGGTCCTTGTTTAACTTGCTGATCACATGGATGTTGTCTGTACACAATAGGTATGTCACATATCGTGTGACATGTGTGCCATATGTTTACAAACTATAGCAACATTATTAGCAGTTTAGATGAAGACCTGCTAATCACATGATTTTTGTTTGGAGATGAAAGAAGCCTTCATTTTACTTCAATGCATATTTCTCAAAATGGGGAAATTTTGTTGAAATATTGACCATGTCAGTTTTGATCATCACTATTCTTAAAGCACAGTTCTAACGACAAGATGGGGACAGTAGTGCCAAAGATAAGTTTAAAGCAGCAAATAACGTATGGGAAAAAGAGGTATTACCTTGTATCTCTGGGTGCTTCAGCATTATTATGAAAGCATATCTCAGAGTATTGCTTGTAGTCTCTGTACCAGCAAAAAACAAGTCAAGTACTGATCCCATCAAGTTTTCTTCATGAAATTCTGTGTTTGGGTTTTGTTTATCCTGAAAAAACACAATTATAGGTACGTGTCCACATTTACTATATATAATAGGAAAAAAATCAAATAACAAAAATAATAAAACCAGCTTCTGATGCAATATTTAACCCTGAGATTTCCTTTTTTTTCTACTGCTAGGTGTCCTCAGTCTCATGGCCAGCATCATGTAACCCACTTACTTTGAGCACATATACCAAGTTATAGGTGCTCCCCTAGTTATCTGAGCATCAGGAAGAAAGTCAATACCCTTGCTAAATAGCTGCAAATCTACAGTATAATCAATTATTACATATAAAATGACATATTAACTTTAAAAGTGGGTATTTGTGTGAAACTGGCCAATTCGATGTAAAAACCTTATTTCAGAGTATTGTTTGTCTGCCCTCTAAAAATACACTTAAGGCAGAGCCAGCTGTGCCCGCCTCCTCCCCCGTCCATTCCTCCAGTTAGAGAAATGGGGAGGGGATGGGGGGGAATCCATGCATGGAGCGGTGGCTGATATTCACCGCTCTCTGCAGGGAGAGGATCAGCATCTCAGCGACGGCGGTATGTTTTCGCTGACTTCCCAATCAATAGTGCCAACCTGTGACAGCTTCTTTGTCACAGGTCGGCTTCAATTTTGACAAGTGTTTTTATTAAAAACATTTGGTGCTGCTTAGAAGATGGCTAGTTCTTGTTCTTTTTTAAACATTCAACTTAAAAGACAAAAAACATTTCACCAACATTACATCATTGATTTTGACATAATCATTTTTAGATTGTAAGCCCTCACGGACAGGGCCCTCCTTACCATCTTGTCTTGAATTGTATTGTAATTGTAATGCCTTCCTTTTATTGTAAAGCGCTGCGCAAACTGTTGGCGCTATATAAATCCTGTATAATAATAATAATAATAACAACAATAATAATAATAATCATTGGATTGTCAGCCCCAGAACTCACCTCTTCCATCTTTAAGAGAAAACAGTCTGTAAAGTCCTGTGGACAGTTTTCATCCAAAACTTCTCTGTGGGACTTCTCTGTCTCCCTCACAAACACCCTTAGCTTTTCCAAATTGCTAAACATTTTCTGATGGGGTCCAGGAAGCTTTTTCATCAATTTTGGGAACATGCTCAAAAACTAAAACAAAAATGTAATTTTATCGTAGGAACCCAACACACAAACTTGCTGTGAATGTATTTCATGATATAGTTATGTGTTTAACTTTTTGGTGCCCTCACTGTAGACATTCCCCCATGGGCCAGTACCAATATTACATTTTGGGGTGTTGGTCCTGAGTGGAGACTCCCCACCAAGACCTCCATCAGCTAGGGGACCGTTAGTAACTAATGGATGTTAGACATCCATTGCGCTCATTTGTTAACAGGAAGCTGAATGCTAAAGGATTACTTGACGATGGGATAGTTATTGATTAAGTGTTTTTTTTTTTGCGTGAGTCCATGTTTTTTTCAAATCAGTAATGTTGTTCAGCTCATAAAGAACTTGCTCATTTAAATAAAATGTATCTCTTATAATCCTCTATTTTTAGTAAAGATGTGCTACAACAAACCATGTTGTTTAAGACAACACCCACCATTCACTATGGCCATCAATCACTGCCGTACCCCTCCGTCATTTACATTCACACAACATTATGACCACTAGATGGAGCCAAGGAGCAAAGGAAATAAATACTTATTTTATATGCTCCTGTGGTGTAAATGTTATATTTTTGCAGAACGAACTGTTTTTTAATACACCCCTTAGTGTGGTGGACTTAAAGCCCACAGGGAACTGTCACTTCCATGAAAGGACCAATTGGTTAAATTTCATTCCAAGGCAAAAACGTTTTAGTGATTTTCTGATGTCAAGCTGTTTGTCATTGGATTAGTTATTAATATTATTTTCAGTATAATTGCTGAATTTATTATATGATGTGACCCAGTGCAAACCAACTGTGTCTACTCTCAGGGAACTAAATGGTGAAATGTCACTGTCGGAGCTCCAAGCTTTAATCTTATCACACCCCCAACTAAAGAATAGTTTTTGCACAGTTAAATAGCCATTTCTACAATCCTGTGATAACAAAATCAGTGAGAGGCCCATTCCTGATACCAAGATATTGTGTTTATGTGGGATTAAGTTGGTGTATCCATTGGATTGATGTCAGATATAGAAACTGGGTCAAACCACCAATAGATCTTTATTCTTTCTCTAAACATGCACATAAATATGCATGTACATGTCTATTGTAGGTGAGAGTACAGAGAAGCACTTGTAACACTGGTTTTATCTGCCAAAACTCCAGCACAGCTCCTTTTGTGTTCCTCTTGGTGCTTAATCTGCCCAAATAAAATGTATCAGGTGGCAATTATTTCATTTGTATGGGTAACTAGCCATTCAAATAACAGATGTGGTGATTTTATACATGCACTTCATAGGAAAATACAAAACATGTATGGTTTGTGTTTCTGTATTTACCTGACCAGATCGAGAGTTCAGTGCGCTTACGACTTCCCTGATATATTGCAGAAGGGTCATAAACTTCTTGTCTTCATATTCAAATCTCTTCCCAAATACAATTGAGCAAATGACATTGGAGACAGCCAATCCCAGCAAATATGTTGGGTCAAATGGGGTTTCTATTGTCAAAGACAAAAACCAAGTCAGTTTTTAAGGCATTAAGTAGAGGGTGATGAAATCAAGTGCATGATACAATACAAAAGTCCTTGGCACTCTACCAGGCAGCAATATGACCTGTGTAATGTTTCTAGGTGAATTCTAATGTTTCGGCAGATCTTTATTATGCAGTCCTACTCCGTTGTTTCTGTTGCTGTATTGCTGCCTGTGCATGAAGATTCTTTAGCTGCCGTTTTTGCAGGTGTGGGTGTATCATGAGTTTAGACCATAAGGAGAAATAGGAGAAACTCCAAGTAAAACTGCTCTGAATTTATGTCATGCTACAGTAATAATGTAATAGTTAGCGCTCCTATAAATTAGATTAGGATCTCTGGATTCTATTTTACCCAGATGGAGTCCAGGACACATGCAGCTTCCATATTTCTATGAAACTAGAGCTAGAAGCAGATTAACTAGATATTCTTTCTGCTTTGCAGGATTGAGGCCTAAGAATTTTTTATTGTGTTGCTTAGTTGGTGACTTGGCCCTCTCACTGTGCAACCCACCATATTTATTTCAATTGATTGAGCTGCCATGTTTTTATTCCAAATTCCCATTAACACGTTGACCCTGACCCTGAGTAGAGCTTTTTTTTTTTTACTTTCAGAGTAGATTATTACTTATCTTAGTGAATGCAATCCTTTGCAAAGGATACTCAATCAGAAAAAGTAAAAGAAAAATTGGATTGCATGCACATGATTGGATTATTAAAGTCACCACAACTTCACCTCATTCACAAGGCTAACTGCAATCATCCAATAATGTGCAAAAAAAAATCTTGTTTTTTTTTTCTTTCTCTTCCTTGCAGATCATTGGTTATTCTTTGCAAGGTGAATGTTTACTTTGTTTTATCTCATTCGCCAAGCTAATTCACTGGTAAGTGACAATTCACTGTATGCTTTACTTCTAAAATAAATGCACCCTATTATCTCATTCTATGTTAAAAGGACACTATTAAACTAATACTGAAAATTTATAAAATGTAATACGTATGTAACACAGTGGGATTCAACAGTTATCTTCCTCCTGTTTTAATGAGGAATATCAATATTTTAAATATCAATAAATATCAATATTTATATTTCTAATTACCATTATATTGTATTATAAAGGTAAGTAACCTAAACATGCAATAACATGCAATGCCCTTTTAAGCACCAACCTATAATCCCACACATCTGTTGGAAAATACGACCTTGCAGCTGGATACAATAATTCTGTAATTCAGCTATAGAAGTAATCTACCAAACTGAAAGTGTGGAGAGATGGAGTTCCATTGTAACCAACGCTCCTGATCCTTGTGTGATATAAAGGAGACATGTAATGGATATTCGTATGAATTTAATTAAAGTGACATTAAAGTAAAAAAAAAAAATTCCCTCCCCCCAATGTTAATGTTAGCACTTACCTTACATGATGTCTCTTAATCCGATATTCCTCTTCTTTCCTGATGTTTTCATCTGTCCCTCCAGCTCTCCGATCCAGCACTGACTCCTCTGTCCCTGCAGGCACTTCCGATCCCACAGTGTTTGCATGCGGGTGCACGCTTCCATAGACTTACCTTGCGTCTCTGCTTGTCTCCCGGCCGAAAAACCGAACTGCGCATACGCCCGCCGCAAGATGCTTTACGGCCGTCCGAGCAGTTTCGGATTCTCATGACAACGGGGTAAGTTTAAACCGCTGTTAAAGCGTTTAAAAAAAAACAAAAAACTTTTTGATTTGTCTACTGCTTGCTAGCAGTAGATATAGGCAAAAAAACCAGAGGGTTTAGATCCCTTTAAATTCGGACGTACTGATGCATCCGAATTTCTGGATTCTAATGCGTCTAAATGCAAATGAATCCGAATGGCTGTTTAACTAAAATTCAAATTGATTTGAATTTCTTTCAAAGCAAAACTAATTTGGACATGTGACTGTTCTCTGGCTTAACAGATGGGTTTTATTTGCTTTTGGGGGTTGCATTACATGCACAGTCATATGACTTTGTTCAGAAAAAGAAAAATTCGAGCAGATGCAAAATCTGAATAATGAACCAAATAAAATTTTGGATCCAAATTCCGAAAAATGAAAAAAACTATTTGAATGGATCCAAAATGAAGCAATTTTTTTGCAGGGTTATATGTCTAGTATAAGCCTATGTCGAAAGTAACTGTCCCATACAACATTCACAAAAAGTATATCAAAAGTACCCAAAGGAAACCAATCTCCCTTCTTTTATTTTGTACTATAAATCTGGGAAAATAACAGGTGGGAAGAATGACAAACTGACCCTAATGCTGTCACCTACCTTTGTCTTTCATGAATTTCTCTCTCAGGTTCTGAGCCTCTTCCTGGATCCTTTCCTCAATACTTCTTTTCCCCATTCCAAAATTTCTCAAGGTCATTAGAGAGAAGCGTCTCATTGTCTTCCACCTTTCTCCATTACTCATGACAATCCCTAGAATATTGTAGAAGAGTGTTGTTTCGAGACTGTACCGACAGCACCTTAATGAATATTAGTACAGCATACATCTGTATCTGTACTGTATCTAATGTGAATAGACAAGTGGTTTCACTAGAGACCCATGTGAAATAGGTTTTATGCATGTTGGGAACAGGAACCAACCAGATTCTATCTCTTTTTATTTTAGAAACTTACTGGAAAGAAAGATAGCTTGAAACAACATTGATTATTCAGGGCAAATATAGGCAAAAATAAGTTTTGCCTATAGATATACCAAAGCCTGGCATCACTGGACATGAAGATTCCAAATATATTCAGTGGTGCCCATTCACACCTGAGAGTCATACTGCTGCTTGTCATGCAATAAAGCACATGAGCTTTTTTGGGGGGGAAATGTACATGTTGTTGACCCCATAGACACTAGCATTACAGCACAATTTTCACACATTTGTTTTAGCATTTTTCAAAGAACTGTGGCAAGTGACAGAGGGCCTGGTAATAAATTGGGCTTGATGTTTTGCCAGATTGGGTGCTCTGATTGCACAAGAAACCACAACACTGCACAGAAAACCCAGGAGGCAAAAACAAGGACGTATGATATCATAGATGATACTGCTTTATATAGATCAATGCAAAAATGCCTGAAGCTTGAAAACACATAAAAAAACACATGTAAAATACTTAAAAAATACATGTTCTTGAGTGGACAAACACACAAAAATGACTTAGGCTAAGTTCACACCTAGGCGATTGAGCTGGTGAGCTTTTTTCGCGCATTTTTGTTTTGATTTTGCTTTGTAAACCACGCAGTTGTCAAAGCATAGAGATGTGTATGGGACCCAAACTGCACGACAACCATCCGAAAATAGCTCCTGCACCTTTTTGCGCAGCAGGCGATTTCTACCGCATGACAAATGGCAAAGGAGTGAACAGCTTCCATAGACTTGATTGCATATTTCTGTTTTCTGCCATATCGCGCGGCTAAATCCGCACGATAATTCACCTAGGTGTGTACCTAGCCTTAAGCAGCTCTAAAATAACCTTTACACTGATCTAGGAGCAAATTAGACAGAGTAAATACTGGTATCTATTAGGGATGCACAGATACCAGATACCATAATTTGTACAAGAACATGTAAAAGGTAAAAGTACTGATACTTGTCCAAGTACTCACAGATACCAATTACCTTTTCTTTAGTGACATGTGAGAATTGTTCCAAAACAATGAAGACTAATGATTTCAGGACAGTGGTGGAGCACCAGGGCCCAGTCACAGCTGCAATCTCTGCGACCCTGGTAGTTCTCATGAAAATGCCAAATATTGGCACTGGTATCTGAACATCCCTAGAATCTATCCTTACAATGTGCATTTCTATGCAGCAGTATATTACATTGAGTAAATTGTGATCAAAGTGAGTACTTCTGTTCATGTGCATTGTACAACATGCATGAACACAGTGGTACCCTCAACCAAGCATTGTGACAGAATTTAAAATGTATAGTGTATTTTTATGCTTACCGTAACCTTTGAATAACATAGTGATCATCTCCAAATCTCCTCTGTTGCTGAAAACATCACTGTGATCTACCAGTGCCTCCTTCACCGCGTCATATCCAACCAGTACAACCACAGGAATGTTGGCCAGGTAGCAGGTGTACACTGGTCCATAGGTCTCACTTATCTGTAAGCCATGATAAAATACATTGTTCATAGGAAGACAAAACAGCAAGTAAAAAGGAAACCAGAATGCTAACCATTTCTGAAACATGTCAAATATTTCCCCATTGTACTATGCTCATAACAAGAGACTGCTGGCACATTTCAAGAGACTGCTAGAGATGACTAGACTAACAGCATGCTTTTGAGATTCCATTCACACCTAATCGTGAGCATAGGAAGATGATTTACAGGCTTTTTTGTGTGTTTGTTTGCACTTTTTTCAAGTTTTTTTATGAGCATCTTGTAGTATAGGAGCAGAATTGTGTGCTTTTTGGCCCAACAGACTTTTTTAATGGAGTGCCTAAAAAACACGCGTTTCCCAAGCATTTTCAGGAGCTGCCATTAAAGTCTATGGAGTAAAAATGCATGAGGTGTAAACAGGGGCCATATAAAGTAATGTGATTTATTTTGTTGAGCGTTGGCGCAATTAGGGCTCATTCACACCACATTCAGATCTTCTTCAGACCAGACCAGATTGTTTTCGGACCCAAAATGCATCCTAATGTGTCACTATGCTATTTCTGGCCTCTGTTCACATCAGCGAAGTCCGTTCCAGACCAGACCAGAAAAATACAGCTTGTCTCATTTTGTCTGGTTTGGAATGCAATGGAACTTTGGGCAGGTTCACACCATTTTCCAGACCAGGTATGGTGTGGAAAATGGTGTGAAACTGTCCTTAGGGAATGAATGGGGCCTAATGGATGGCTATAGAACAATAAAATGTTATAAGAGACTGATAAAGATCACCCAGAAATTCTGTATGTGCATACCAAAGCGCAGAAGAATAAAATGTGCAAAATAAACATATTGAAGTTACGAAATTAAAAAATAATAAAGTGCAGAGTTGCAAAAAACAATATTAATTTGACAATGATTAAAAATCCCCTTCCTCCCCTGTAATAACCAATACACATGTAACTATTACCTTCAATAAGGCTTTGGGCATTTCTGTGGTGCTCAGCTGCAATATATTCCCCAGCAGGGGCAAAGGTGTGGGGCCTGGAGGGAGATTGCTGTGCTTTACTCTTCTCCACCATGACACAAGGTAAATTAGAAGAGTGACTCCAGTAGCCAGCAGAAGTGTTGTTCCTATTCCCAGCGCCATCCTGACGGTAACTAGCCCCGAAGCGTGAGCTATTATACTTGCTTTACTGTATTTGAGCTTTGAACTCTGGCAGCTTTCCAACTGAAAATGTGCATGATCAAAGAAGTAGGGCGTTGTAAGGATCTGGTGCAGTGTTTCCTATAAAAGTGAGAGCTGTACACAATGTTATATAATTGTGTGCTATGGGAACAGTATCAGACTAAATGGAAGCATTCCACAGCATTGAAACAGAGAGATAAGGAACACGAGGTGCAACAATTTCATTCCTGGAATGCACACGGTATAGCACTATGGTGGTGAGTCACATAGCCGTTCGCACTCGAGCGTGTTCTGACATGTTCTAACTCGCACTCGCCTGGGTGGCAGACCACTTGACTTAGTCCTTATGGAGAAGTAGAAGGAATAACACATGGGTATATTGCGCTGTTGGTGGAAAATGAGTGACAGGTGTTTCAGATGCCTGGTTCCCCCACTATGCTTTGTGATTTTTTTCCTTCGGCCTTAGGGTTGCCACCTTTTCTTCAAGCCAAACCCGAACACTGTAGCGCTTCGCGGCAATTTGTTTGTACAGCATACTCTATGCATGTATTTTGTAAATAAATGACATTGGAGTTAATCACAACTTGCCAGTGTGTCGCAGGTCCCCAGACAAAGCAGTACCCATATACCTTGCCGCACTTCTTACCAGATATACCAAAAGTAACGGGTGCTGGTAATGACTGCGGATGGCGCTGCTCACAACATAACAACAATACAGATGTCTCCAGCACACCGGCACCAAGATCCCATGTTACTGCAAATCCATTTTATTGATAGTTGTCATTCAAACGACAAGCGCTTTCTGGGCCGCGCCGGGTCCCCTTCATCAGGCTCAGAAATGACATTCTAAATGAAACCCGGACGGGTGGCAACCCTATTCGGCCTACATTTCTATAGGACATACGGTAGTAATGACATAGGCCTCTGCGGAAACGTCCAGAGCACACGGAGGGGAGAGATGCAGGCATCCAATGGTCTCCAATGTAAACACAAGTACCAGTCAGTATAAAGCCTCTTCTTTTGCAGGTCCTGCTTTGTAACAGTTTTTTAGCCTGCAACTAATTTGCTGACCACATAAGATCCAGCAGAAGTTCAGAAAAATGGTAAACCTGTGCAAAAATACTTTTATCAACTTACTAACTCTTATTACCTGGTGTCCCACTATTTCATAGAGCCATGGTTCCCATACCTTGAACTGATGATGATCATATGGCCTGAAGCAGTTGTATACAAGTTAGAATAATCCGCTCTGTAAATGTAAACTGCATCTATGCTAAAAGCCATCAGTGTTTGATGCACATTTGCCTACATGGACATGGTTGGCATGGTTAATCCACAGTTCTGCTGAGCAGTTTCATCATCAAACTGTAAATAGATGCACCTAAATGTGTCAGAGGAAGTCTCTGGCTCATATGAGGCTATATGGATTCTTAAAGAGGGGAAAGAACCAACTGATGGGATTTTCAGTAAAATGAATTAAATGAAAGCAGCTTGAATTTAATGTTTATTTGTTAAATAAAGATTTAATACAAATTATATAAAAGATCAGTTTACGTATGTACTACAAAAAACTAAACATTATTGACCAAAAACCAGAGTTTCTATTTAAGAACATTATAATTCATGGATAAATTCTAATAGATTTATGGTTAATTCTATAATTTATAATGATAATTCTATAATTTACAATGTAGTTGTGCAGAGTTTTAATTTTAGTTGATTTTGACTCACCTCACTTGACCTCTCTATTCTAGTTTTTTTTTTTTTTAATGTTTGTATAATTGAACGTTTCTTGGGTGCCATCTATTGGCACAAAGCAGAAAGGACAACCACATGTGCATGAAGGCTGCATAGTGCTCAAAGTCTGATCAATATACCTGGGAACTTGTGAAAGTGTGTCAGTGTGTGTGTGTGTGGGGTGGGGATTTGCCATCATTATCAGTTTGGTAGTAGTTTATCATTATCAATATGATATACATATCAAACTTACCATCTGTCCTAGATTTGCAGGGACAGTTCTTATTTTTAGGCAGTTGTCCCACGAGGCTGGGTCCTTCAGACTTGCACCTACTGTTGTGTTAGGGAAGGCTTCCAATTACCTATTTGCCAAACAGAAGACATGGGATGGCAGCTTCCTTACCCACAAAAATGGAATGCAGAGGTTGTGATTCAGAATGATTTCCCAAACCCCCCAGTGGGGACACAGATATCAATGGATAGTAATTTTTGTCTATTAGACGAACAAGAAAGAGTTAATTCCTCCGCCAACTCTTTATTGCCCTCTTGGTCTCCATCAGAAGATTTCTCCTCACTTCCTATCCAGGTGAAAAGTGTAGATATCATCAGCCTATAATCAATACAAGTTCTATATATAGCTCACACATTTATACAGTATGTACATGGAAGCAGCTCTGTTTCCTAAATACATATGCAGGTTGCGATTCAGAAAACAATGGACGCTCTATAAGGCTGCCTGTAGATATTTCTGGATATGGGTGTAATTGGATCACTTCTTGAGTGCTTCTACTAAATGTTTCATGTTCTTCCATCTTCAATATACATTCCACTAACGTATGTAGGTAAGAAAAAGCAAATATGCCCACATTGTGGGATTGCAGGTGAAAGACATAGTGGCAGTGACTAGGCAATAGAGCAGCATCAGGTAATTGCCGCAGTGCTGGTGGTAGCAGCAGCTATGAACAATGAAGTCTCTCCAGACATATAAGGCTACTTGTGTATGTTTCTCATTCAAACACCAGTTATGATGTTTATGGGCAGGTTGCAGAGCATGCCTACTGGATGATGTATCAGAAACTTTCACCTGTGACCATGGTGCAGTTGTGGTTCTTTCATAAGATGATATGTGATTGAAAGATGTTGTTTGCACATTCTTTGCTTACCAGGAGTTTTATTACGGAATAATTGCAGAACAAACTTTTGGTTTAGGTGTGTAATGTGTATATTATAGCAACAATCTGGTGACCTCCAAGTTCAAAACCTATGACCTTCCTAGGAGGCCATGTTCCATTCCTGTAATGCCTCCCCCTCAGTTAATTACAAAACGAAGCCCCCTACCATCTACCCCTCCCCCTTCTCCCGATAATTACAAAACTGAGGCAATACACCAAGCATGTTTACGTATTATTGATTTATTTTTTCAAAAGCCCTTCACATAAACATATTGTTTATAAACTGACTCCCATAGTGTTTCAAACAGAAGCATTGCTATCAACATGGTGGAAATATATGTTTTGTCATGATCTCATATTCATATATACAGTAGGTGAGTGCTGTGAATGCCCTGTAAAGAGGAAAGTCAGTCACCAGTCACACTTTTTCTTAAGCCAACTCCAAACTCCATACTTGACTTTAGATAAACCTTACAAAATCTCTAGCGAGGAATAAAGGCAACCTTATAAGGCTTGGGTACGTTTCCCAACCCAGATACAATGGGTGTGATGTCCAGCTCTTCCAGGGGAACAGGAGACTTCAGGTCAAAGTTCTGGAGAACATTGACGAGGAACAGAAACAGCACCATGCGAACAACTGTTTCTCCAAGGCACATTCTCTTTCCTAAAAAGTGAGATGAGACTTAGAATAATGAAGGTCAGTTTCACGTGAGAAGAATCTTTCCCTTACCTACCAAAAATATTATTAAGTTTGGTTTTTCCATTGCTATTTAAAAGATTTACACATACGTCCTCTCTTTCTATTAACGCTTTACTAGACAAGTAGAGAGTGGAACTCTCTAACAGCAACACAGGAATAAAAACACTTTTTTTATAAAGAAGGAGAAGGCTAGGACCAATGTCAAAATTTTATTTCTGTGTTTCTCTCTTTCCTGTCTGGTAGAACCATCATCTGTGGGACAGTTTGTGAGGAAAAACCTCTGTAACAGACCCCTGGATAGCTGTAAAACCCAACAAGTGTTACAATCCTTACCCTGCTCCATCTAACACTAAAAGAAAAACATTTTTGACTGGACATACACTTTAATAGTCTATTCCAACTTTTTTCCTTATGTGTCCACACTGAAAGCTTGTTGACTGATAATGGTTGCTGTAGTTTTCACATAACCATTTCATATTACCTTTTTAAATAACCAATTAAGATGTTTATAGCAGACCTTATGCATATAAATATAGGCTAAAAAGAACTGTGATGTTCAGCATTTAATGATGCTTCTAGGACTAGACTTTTACTGGGCTATTCACAAACGACATAAGGGTGAAGAGTTTGGAGAAGACAGGAGAAGTAAGCATTTAGGCCAAAAAAGTTTTGGAAAAATTCTCTAATTCAGGTCACTTTCCAGTTCAGCTATGTTATCCTAAATTGTTCACTTCTTCTGCCTTCTCCAAACTTTTTCACCCCTTTCATTAGCCCCAAGCAGCGTGTAAAGCTTCCCACACACTGTAACATGTCTTCTTTTAACCAGTTGACATCCGCGGTGTTAAACCCCCTTCCCATCCAGGCCATTTTTCAGTATTCAGCGCTGCGGTACTTTGACTGACATTTATTCCGTCATGCAGCGCTGTACTGAAATGAATTTTATACCCTTTTTTGGGGACAGATAGAGCTTTCTTTTGGTGGTATTTATTCACCACTGGGGTTTTTATTTTTTTACTATATTAAGGAAAAATTACCGAAATTTAAAAAAAATAACGGGTGTGTGCAATGGTCGGGTCTTTTCCGCCCGTGCGTGCCCGCTAGGGGGCGCGCGCGAGCAGAAAAAAATTGCCGTCCGGGGACGGCAACCGGCCAATGCAGCAGTGCCGTCCGTCCGTTTTTTTACTACGGGCGGATGACAAGAGGTTAATTATTGTTAGACTAGGTGATTAAAAGACATTTTGTATTATTTAACCTAAATGTAGTGTATTGCACAATCAGATTGTAATATGTGTGGCCAGCTTTATAATAGTGGGTAGAACTTAGTCTACCTGCAGACAGGGGCATGAAGGCGCTATTCCTCTGAAACTCTCCCTTATCATTCAGGAAATTCTCCGGGTTGAATTCTGTTGGATAATTGAAGCAGGTGGGGTCTTTAAGGACAGAGGTCAGCATTGTGATAACATTGATATCCTAAAAAATGACAAATTGTTATCAAAATATTTCCACCAATTGTGCACATTGCGCATATTCAAGAGGACCTGTATTATGTTACATTTTTAAGCATTTGCATAAAAAGGCCAGCTATATATAAATGATCTATTTGTGTTATAGTCCCAGTTACTCCAAAGATATTGGAGGGAATTTATCAAAACTGGAGCAATCAGAATCTGGAGCAATATTTGGTCTGACTGCGTGCCTCCACAGCTGGTCCTGACAATCATAACATTTAAGTTCAGGTCCACTTTAAAAATACAGATGGAATATAACATTTTAAGAGAGAAACAGCAGCCATATGTAATTATGGACAGGCTTTCTAGAACAATGGTGCATTATGACAGAGGTCTAAGATGCAGGAGTTGAAGGAAGCAATGAAGAATGACAGGAATAAGACAGGTAGAGCGCTTCTCCCCAGTAGAAATATATAAACCTTTGGTAAGGTGTATCCATTCAGTGTGACTTCTGCTGTGGTTCTCCGAACAGCACCCATTGGAATCAGATCTATGAATCGCTGCATTTCATGAAGCACAGCTTCTGTGTATGGCATGTTATTTCTGTCTTGAACTGTTGGGCTACGTCGCCCGATCACATGCTCAATTTCCTTTTGGACCTTGGCTACCAAAGAAAAAAAAAGATTTATTAGGCAGAGGTATTTTTTTTAGGCTGCTAACGCAGATAATCATGACACCATAGAATAATAATTCTTCTGTAATATTTACACAAGGGATAATATTCCTCTACTGTAAAATAAAAAGACATAAGGCATTACCAAGGTGCTTACTAACCCTATCAACCCACAATTGTATTTATAATGGTAAACAACAAGGAAGCTCCTTGGAAATTTTCTAAGATACTGAAAGCAACCTTGTCACAAAATAGAAATACCCCAAAACGTTTCCCTGCAAAAGAAGAGAGTAAATAATTACCTTGCCTGCTTCCCATGGTACTGACCACTGCTTAGTTGAAGATAAATCATCCTCAGTCTGTTGAGAAACCAGGGAGGTCCTGCTGACCTCCATGTTACTGTAAAGCACAGTTAAGGTTTAAAGGACCATGGAAGAACCATTGAGTACAGCAAGAGATTGTGAGATTGATGACGGAAGTGTCAGTTTCTCAACAGACTTCATAGGACACTTTGTACAATGGAGCTGCTTTTGGTGACACAGGCAGCATGAGATGTAATTAAGGTTTTGTGGCTTTTCATTTTTACAAGAGTGTCACTTTAATAATTGGTGCAAAGTTAAAATTAAGATACCATCCAAATTTCCCACATTCTAGAAAATTGATTACTTTCCTAATATGCATGTTGCCAGAAGGAGAAAATAAATTGAAGAGCCAAATATTCGTCATTCCCCAAGGAGCTTTATGTGTTGCCCGCATTGGTGACAATCATGGTATTGGTGGTGAAGCCTGCACAAAATTTTGTGTTGGGACTTGCCACCCAGCATGTGGACAATTTAGTTTTCCTTGGGTAGAACAACACTAACAAAATCCAGTAGGCACCCACATCTCCTTTTCCCCACCTAGCTATGTGACAGAAGCCTATTTTTGATATGACTGCCATGTTCTCCAGTGGTAACGAAATGATGAATCAGATAGGCTATGTCAGTTCATCTGTAAAAGGTTGTAAGGCTCATGATCAAGAGTTGATGCAAGGCCATGCTGACACTGTATCTATAGAGGCAGCTATGGTTACCGTACAGGCTGGACTTCAAGCATGTCCCCATTTGTTCATCTTCATTACATGGTAGATTGATGTGATGGGACTAGTAATTTACACAAATAAAATAAGCCTGTTTTATGCAGGTCAGCTAACTGCAAGCGGCAGAGGACACTGCATTTCTGGCAAGATCAACATGTATTTTCTGTGCTTGCAGAAAATGTTCTCACCCTGAAAAATTGAGAACCAATGCAGCTACCACTTCTAAAGACTAGTAAGCTGCAATATTTTACCTTTTTGTCCTCGCGTTATGCTTTAACCTCTCCTTTATAGCACTTACCAATCACCTCTGGGTATTTCATTACGACTAACAGAGAGTAGATCATTGTAGTAATCATGGTCTCTACTGCAGCGAAGAATATCTGTACCGTGCTCGCCAGCAAGGTCTTCATGCAGAAAGAACTGTGTGGGTTCACTTTCTCCTAAATAAGAAATCATTGCAGTAAGCAGAATAATTTCAAGTACAGACTGTATGTCTTATAACATTACTCTGAACTTGCTTTATATTTTATAAGGACACAATATTTCTTCTCTACATGCTACAAATTCAATTTCATGCAAGCCAGTTGCCATAATACTTCCCTTCGCCTACAAACTCTCTCCACTGTGCAGAATACAGATCTAACAGGCTTAACTAGTATGTAAATACGACTGTGTGTAAAGTGCAGTAACTGACACCAATCAGTAAGGTTTAGTTCTGTCTTTTTTTTTAATATAGTAAATTGAAATTAGATCTAAGAGGGAATTTCCTTCACGTTAGAGAGATTTCCTTATACTTTCCCATCATAGGAAGTGATGGGAAATCTCCCTAATGGGACTTGGCGAAAAAAGCCTAACATTATTATTATACAGGATTTATATAGCGCCAACAGTTTGCGCAGCGCTTTACAATTTTACATGGGTTTGTACTATTTCCTGTTAGTGTGTCGTCACTATGTACAATGTAAAAAATGGCTTTAAATATACTGAAATAACCCAATGAGATTATTTATGAATGAACGACAAAACTTGCAGAGAAAAAGCGAAGCTCTAATTCATAGCAGCCAATCGTGCCAAATAAAACAAGAAATCTGTGTTATTTCTCTTGGTACAATCTCAGTTTTTCTAATTCAGTTCAAATACATTTGTGAGAACAGTTTTACTTGATATAGAACTTGTATTTCTGAGCAGCCAGTCTTGTGATGATGATGAAGACTTGCAACAGGCATGCTTGGTAACAGACATGGGTCAAGACATTCCCAGAGCCTTCTGACTGGTCAGTGGAGCAGCAGCTAAGACCAACAGCCCTGCTCACTCTGTTATTACCTCCTGTCAGCCTGTTTACTGTGCACCACAACCTGACTGGCTTCTAGATTTAGCCATCCATCTCCAAGTCTGCTGTACAGGTGATTAGAGGGAGCAGATATCAAGATATATTCAGGCAGGGACCCTAGTTGCGCATAT